AATTGAGTCCTGATCCGATTTTCTGAAAACGTCAAGAACATATGGCACTGTTTCCAGCTCGAAGGATTTGACAAGAAAAAAGAAATCGCCGACGTACAAAAAAAAAATGCCAATACTATTTCCCGCCAAATCGTTCTGTACTCTCATGTAAACTCGGTAGAGCATCGGACGCCTCATTCGAAGGTCGTAAGTTTGGTCCCTAACCACAGGAAGTTATCTTTCTTCCAATTTTATTTCTTCATATTTACACTACAATTACTTCTATTATAACATCCCCCTATAATTTCCTTGCCGTCATTGTCAGCCTGTTCTCATAAATATTGGTGTACTGTAAAGGAACTTTTGCCGTAATGTATATTGGGTCTCAGTATATCTTGCGAAAGGTGGCTCGTTATTCACTCGCACGTAATTTCATTGATCCTATATCACCACGACGTTATACGCGGCTGTTCACACACTTTCAAATTATTTCAATAATTAGTGTAAGAGCTTCCGTTGGCCAACATACTTAGCATTATACGTGATTACCGTAGCTGAAACTTTATCGAACTGGGCAGGTGATGTATCTGATGATGGAGAGATAACACTGAGAAGTAACTGATGTAAACAAATGTATTCTGCTTCATTTTGTGCGTGATTTGTGGCGTAACTTTTTGGAAGGGGAGTAAATCTAAATTCACTGGCTTGAACTTGAAAACATTTTGACGCCAAGGACCCCAAAGATGTACTGACAAAACATGCACTGTCATTGCCTTCCAAACGCTGCAGCATGCAGTTAGCACGTTGCATCCCGGAACTGCCGAACATGTGCTTCCGTTACTTCCGTTGAGTCGCTTTTCTCAGGCTGCCATCGCACACATTGTGGTCAGTAATTGTTGAGAAAAACAGGTTGGGACGTTCGAGGTAATCAATAAAATTTATTTGTAAGCAATTAGCGCACCTATCAGACATCTAGAATTTTTGCTAACAAACATGCCTAGCAAAACTCATAGAAAGCCATAGACCTCGATAAATCACGGGGTTGACTCTTCCCAGCACCACATAAGAACCTTTCGGTCGTGGATTCTGCAGCGTTACGTCGGCTCTAAACGAACACATATTTAGACATCCACAGATTGCATACGTATACTACCCCGCAGCATACAAAAGACATATTCCCGTGGTGTGGGAGCACACCGACGCTCTACCACATATTGCAGATAAATATAAGGACAGACGGTGACCAAAGGCGCTCATATCATGGCGGGAACGCGGTTGTGAGTGGATACGTCATGAGCGCGGTGAAATTGAATGCGAGACTTCGTAGCCGCGTGATGACATCACGTTTACTTCTGCGTGCGTGCGTACATAGTCTGCGCAATAAAGTTGATAGATTAATCGTGCCGCTCGACGTGATACTGCTCCTCGGCAAGAGCAAACATGGTGGGCGTACTCGATCTTCGCCGCCGGCGTCTGTCAATCAAACTGATGGACGCGTGAATGCAGATACAAACTCGTTGATTCTGAGGAGGTTACAGTTCAGCTCGAGACTGTCGTGGTACCGGTAGGACTGCCAAGTGTTTGATGCGGTGAGCGTTAAGTGTCAGCTTCTTTGCATATAAAATAATTTGGTCATCTTGCACTGTTGTGCAAGGCTGCAGCCATAGGGGGGCTTGTGATAACCTAGCTTCTTCTAGCTTTTGAAGTTGGTTGTCTACTCATGTGCTTGGTCGGCTTCGAAGTGAAGACCGCATCAGCTATGTTTTTCTTTTGATTGTACTAAGTGACTAAGCCTTAACGATCATCAAGATGAGCTGTTTTGTTTTCATTGTTAAGGTTTGAAATTATAGGGCAATTATCTCGGGCGCAATCAGCAAAGTCGTTATCACTATAGAGCTATTTATTGTAACCCTAATTAGCGCGATACTAATTTTCATCATATTAGTAAGTGCTAATTACTTATACTCATTTCATACATCAGGTGCAACGCTGTGGAAGCTAGCGAGACTTCTTGCAGTCGATGCGTTCGCAACAAAAAGTCGTTCAATGTTATTACCACCAAAAATTCAATTTCTCATTCGTTATTGTAGTGAAAAGTAACTGAAGATATTATGCGCCTTACAAATTAAAACGCCGTTGAACGTACGTCTGTTATTATGTGGCTGTATATCTTACTTTCTCCGTGACGTCACATACAGGCTCTCTACTGTGGGTACGTCACGATGGCAGCGACCTGGACTTTCAGTGTCAGTGCAGGATAGGACACCACAAGGTCGTTCAGTGCCCGCGTTATTTTGTGCTCACCCCGCTTTCTTCTGTTCGCCAGTCGCGCCAAAGGGGAGAACAAAGAAACGCGAAAGTGCACCGGCACTAATCGGATGTCACGCGAGCGATCACGGAACGTGTGGAGTTATACGTTTTGCTGGCTGAACTTCTTGTGTAGCCTCCACAGCATTGCACCTGATGTATGAAATGGAGTATTGCGTGCTCGTGCATAACGGCACGGTAATTAGCAAGGTTTAGTTGGCCATCAACTTGCATTCTTTAGTAAGCCTGCTCCTAGGTTCAGATGGTTTCGTAAGCCTGGTCTTCCTAAAGATGCCGCGTAATTACCTCGGCCTTATTATGACTTGAATTCATGGTAAGGCCGAGGTTAGCTTGGTCATAGCATGTCCTAGCCTAACTAGCCAAGTATACAGCCCAGCCAAATAGCTAACAAGCCGGACGGACGTGTTCGTGAGCTAGCAGACGACGACGAAAAGAGCGCACACTGGCCGAGCAGCACGCTAGATAGTGAATGCCGACCATGATGATTAACACGTGGCCTAGAGTTTAGCTGCCGTCGCGATGTTGTCAGACACTCGGCCGGAAGTAATCTCAGAGCCCGACATGCTGATTATTCTAAAACAGATTTACTGCAGGCATCGAAAGATTCAACATTATTTTAAACACCCCGTGCCTTAAAAATCCCCACCAAAAATTTTGATTTATTCATTGCATGGGTACACTTCTGATCTCATTGCAACGACAAACAAATGAAAATAATTTGGTAGATCCCACGTACACTGACAATCGATGATATGCGAAGCACACGTGAGGGAGGTTGATACGTCACTTTAAAATCAACACAAAGTTACGAGGCAAACGTTAATTATGCCGTACATGACTTCCATGTCCTGATTATCATGTTTACACTTGGCATTTGTGTTTGTCGTTCATTCACGTCACGTAACAGCAAGTTTGGTGTATGATAAGCTAGCGAAACGGCCACGACCGCATCATGATTGTGGTATGTAGTCATGTTCTTTAATGACACACATGTCATGAATATCGTGCTTGTGCCAGTCATATACCTTCGTTATCCATTCACGGGACGTTACACCAAATTTGGTATGTTAAAGCTAGCGAAAAGGCTGTGAGCCTGTTATAGGCGTAGCATGCAGTCATGTTTTACATGACACGAACATTATGGGTGTCATGTTTGGGCGCGTCAGTTACCTTCGTCGTCCGTTCACGTCACGTAGTACAAAATTTGGTATATGTGAAGCTAGCGACACGGCCGCGAGCACATCATGAGCATGGCATGTAGTCATGTGTTATACATGAAACGCATCTCATGAGTACCATGTAAAGGCCCATCATTTATGTTCGCTATGTAGTTATGTCATATCATACCAGTTTTGCAATGTGTCATGCGAATGAAACAATCGGAAAAGCAGCAAGACCATGACATATAAATCATGACATTCATGACATACACATAATAATTTTCATGTTATTTCTAGTTACTTATGCTCGTCATACAGTCATGTTATGCCATACCAATTTTGGTATAGATCTGATTATCGAAGCAGCCGGGAGAGCTAAAAGTCATGGGCCATTAGATAGATAGAAAGATAGATTGATAGATGGATGGATAGATACACAGACAGACGGACAGACAGACAGACAGACAGACAGACAGACAGACAGACAGACAGACAGATAGATAGATAGATAGATAGATAGACAGATAGATAGATAGATAGATAGATAGATAGATAGATAGATAGATAGATAGATAGATAGATAGAATCACAGTCGCCGAAGTTCGCTAAGAAATCCTTCGCATTTAAAATGCCTCTGGTTTGAAAACACTACCAAACTTTGTCGACCGTCCTTGACGCGATGACTGGTTCCATCGTAAACAATAAAAAACAGCGCTCTGTGGTGTGGATTTCCCTTTTTTGTGCTCTTGGCTCACTCAAAAAGGGATGTCCGTAGAGCTCCCAAACATCCCGAGTTTAGAGAAACTCGGCTGACCTTGCACAGCACCCCAGACTCCGTTTGGATTCAGCGCGTGTAAGTGTAGAAAATGAATGCACGAACATTGCGAGGCTGATCAGATTGAGAGCATGAGGTGCTTCTCCTGCAAAAAGTGAACTACTTATTTATTTTTTTTGACCCTGTCTCATTTTGCCCCACGCTGCTTATCGGCACAAGGGCCAGTGTTGGCCAAGTAATTTTCCTAAGATATGGTTCCTGAATAATTGTTAACGCGTCCTTTTATAGAAGTTATTTTTGGCCAGCTTGTTGTTTCAGGATGAAGAAACCACGTAGGTAACAAGCTCTAATACTCGCTTGTACAGAAAATTTCCCCTTTCTTTGTGCGTTTAAAAAATTCATAGATGTTTAAAGGGAAAAGTAATTTAATCGATACAAACTACAATGCCATGAAATTCACTAGTGATCGTATACGCAAGAACCTACCACAACCAGCGGGTTGGAACGAATCGGTCTTTCATACGCGCTGAAAATAATGTTTCTTCTATTTGTTATAGTTGGCAAAGTGCCATAAAATTTATTTTTGGTGGGTGTTATGCAATTTCGCTTACGCACAACTTGACATGTTATTTCACGCTGTTTGACAATCTCGAACATGCTCCTTACAGAGCACCCTATAACACTATAATGACTGCTATAATAGACATGTATTATCAGACACCAGTTATCGTTTATTTATTAAGTTATGAAAAATCACTCTATTTGTCACATGTTTCTTGAAAAATGTCCAATACAAACTTGTCTTGTTCCGCTCTATCCCCTGGTTGGTAGAGAAATGCTAATGTCTGGGACGGGAAATCGAATGTTTCTGCAAAAAAAGGGATAGAAAAAATAGTTATGGGGTTGAAGTACCAGCTACCTCGCCGAGAGTTGAGATTATTAGGTTGGTACGTTCATCTCAGCAGCTTCTGACATGAGGGCAGTCGTAGACGCTGCTTTGAAATGCACAGAGTCATACACGGTTATCATGTTTTCACTAGGTCTTGAAATGAGTTTAAATTGAGGAAAGGCATGTGTTACGTACACCTATACCATGTAGGAATATTTGAAATTATGTCTGTGTTCGTCTTGACAAAACAGCTACTTTGTTCGACAAGGACAATGCAGTGCTGACGTGAGGAAAAAAAATTGGGGAACCCTTTAGCTTCGCCTTTAAAAGTTCAACGTGATAGCGAAATACGGCCCCTAGTGCACCCTTCAACCACTAAGTGCATACTTAATTTGTTTTGTTACATACATACACGCACACGCACACAGTAGATTGTACCAGCATGCACGCGCGAATGGTGCATACAAGTTCTTGTTCTAAAGCAAGAGTCGCAATGCCTCCAAGATACACACCGCGCGCTTGCAATCTCGGATGCCATAAAGAGTCTGACAATGCCTCACAGATGGCAGCACATTATCTAGCGTTTGCTGTTTGCTTGATCAACGCCTCAGGAAAGGCATAATATTTTTTCCGCTAGGTGGGTATAGTTGTCCATTTTTAGAGCTGTTTGACAGTTCCTGTGTGTTTTTAGCGGCGATAGTTGCATGATCCCAGCCTTTTTCGACGCTGTTTCAGGCGTCTCAAATGCGCCTACAAATCACCGAATGGGCTCGTTTTCGTCGTGACACCTGTCGAACAAATTTGCGTTAAAGGGACCCTGAAACACTTTTTTAAGTAACCATGGAATGAATTCACTAGAAGACCTTGTTCAACGCCGCAAAAAGTTCAAACTCCGTCCAGTGCCAGAGGAGTTACAAAGGTTTCTCGCATGCTGCAATTGCATTCTCTTGTCTATGGTCTCGACAAAAGCACTGGAAGCTAAGAAGGGATGCGTGGAAGGGGCATAGAAATGTAACCCGCTCCTCTGTGACCTTGAGCACTTTTTTTTCTTTTTTTTTCGATTGCGTGGCTTTGTTAGTGTGAGCGCACTCACGCGTGGACAAGTGGTGACTTCCCGCGAGCAGTAAGGTTGTCAGGGCTGACTGCAGGAAGGCGCTGTCCGGCGGCAGTCGTGTCAATTCAAGCTCATCCAGGCGCTGGCACATACACATTGTCAGAGATGGTAGTGGGGTCTTTTACAGCCAAAGCATTGAAGGCAACAGGCCCGATGCTTTTGAGAAGATGACGCAGTTTGTCTGTCTCGGCCATGGATGCGTTGACGCGTCGACAGGGAGAGCGAATATCCTCGATGTACAAGGTATCAAGCTTCCTCTTCGCCAGGCTGGATTGAACTGCCGTAGTACGGAAGATCTATCGGAGATGTTCTGTGAAAGCGGTCCAGTTGGGGAAGTTGATCTGGTGGTTAAAAACCAAGATTTCGCCATGCTGGTACGATAGAAGGAGAGGTGGCTGAGCTTGTGGGAATCGTCCCAGTGGTCCGCTGCATTCACCATGTCATACTGGTGTAACCATCTATTGGCGTCCTCATGGCGTACTCCAGCAAACAGAGGGGGTCGCGATGTGGTCCGCTGACGATCCAAAAGTAAGGAGCTGCGGCAGTCGCAGCCGGAGTGATATAGTGCCTGTGGGTGCGTCCTGCGACATGCTGGTGAACAAGTGGCCCAAACGTTGACCTGAGTGAAGCTGCAGGAGGGAAGCAGCCGGCCAGCAGGGACGGGGAATCTAAAAGCAACCTCCGCCACTGGCGACGTAGTACTTTACACGCCTTTATTAGACCTCCAAGACGTGGCCGAACCAGTAACATCTGAGGCACAGAATCGACTCAAGGGATGTCCCCACAAACGATAAAGATGAAGAACACTGTGTAATGATGGTTATGTTCAAGAGATGAAGAAGCATCTTATAAATTTCTACAATATATAACTTTATCCAGCTTGCTAAAATATATACGCCGCTTCATAAGGCGCTCTTTTCGTAACTTTGGCGAGATGTTGGCTTGTTTTCAGTGGGGAGTTATGCAGAGTGAGCCATACCTATGGAATTGGGATTACGTGATCCACAAAGGCTGCGTCCTGCGATCAGCAGGCGCCCCTGGTTGCACGCACCATTGCGGCCCACGGAGAAACGTTGAAAGCGCACCTGCACCTGGCACACGGCCTCGTCGAACTTTCGAAGCAGGTAAAGGCAGGCGCCGCCTGCCACTGGCGGCCCTTCCAGCCGGGACCGCTCTTGGCTGATGGTGTCACCGCAAGCGGAGCCTGTCAACAGTGAATGACGTGTGCATATCCCGTTAGTTCTACTTAATCTACCCAAAAGTAAAGAGAAAAACCCGAACAAGGCTATAATGTTGCTTGCTTTACGAGCAAGTTACATCTATAATGGCATGACCTTTCAACTTCCATTTCCGAGAGGATAATAATAATAATTGTTAGATTTTAACGCCCCAAAACCACCATATGCATATGAGAGACGCCATAGTGAAGGGTTCCGAAAATTTCGAACACCCATGGTTGTTCAACATGCACATAAATTTAAGCAGATGGGCTTTAAGCATTTTCACCTCCATCAAAAATGCAGCCGCTGCGGCCGGGATTCAATCTCCGGGTAAGCAGCCGAGTGCACATAGCCACCAGACCACTATGGCGGGTTGTATTTTGATAGGCTCGAGCCATATTAGAAAAAATGAAGGAAGAGCTGCAACCAGCGGCTAAAGTCAGCATTTTCTTCGATAATCAGTGCACAGCCATCGGCTTATCGCTACATGATGTTATGACCATCATTAGCAATGCAATTATTCCGGCAGATGTGAACCCGACGATGTGTTCTCAACGCATTACAAGCAAATATGTGGAAGCAAGGATGGTCCGTTTAGACGGGCTGATTACCTTTCTGCTAAGCGTGAACAAGGGTGTCAACGAACCGGTTCGGTGTGAAGTCTTTTTATCTTTATACTGTCTTTCTTTTCCACGTGTTTTTGCACTGCCCTTTCTACGTGAGTACTATGAACCAGCTAGCCCAAACCAAAGCACTTCTAAACAAGCGCCTCCCGTGCACAGGCGTGTTTGTGGGCCTGTGTCCTCTTTCGGACAGGTTCTTTCGTTACACCTGAAGCATGGAAATTTCCACTCTCGATGTCAGAAAGAGTGCACATACAGCACGTTTGTGCGGCTGGTTTCGCTTCTATTCAATATTGGAGATAAGCATAAGAAAAGGCGGTCACTAGGGGCGCTCGCATCATAGCGGCAACGCAGCTGTTATTAGGTACGTCGTGAATGTGGTGAATTTGAATGCGAGACATCGTGGCCACGTGATGATATCACTTTTACTTCTTCGTGCGTGTGTGCATAATATAGTCTGCGCGATAAAGCGGATAGATTAATCGAGCCGCTTGACGTAAGTACTGCTCCTCGGCAAACGGGGTAGGCGTAACCGATATTCACCGCGGGCATCTGTCAATCAAGCTGATTGACGCGTGAACTCGAATACAAATTCGTTTATTTTGAGAAGGCACGCTGCCCCGCCGCGGTGGTCTAGTGGTTAAGGCACTCGGCTGCTGACCCGCAGGGCGCGGGTTCGAATCCCGGCTGCGGCGGCTGCATTTCCGATGGAGGCAGAAATGTTGTAGGCCCGTGTGCTCAGATTTGGGTGCACGTTAAAGAACCCCAGGTGGTCTAAATTTCCGGAGCCCTCCACTACGGCGTCTCTCATAATCATATAGTGGTTTTGGGACGTTAAACCCCACATATCAATCAATCAATGAGAAGGCACGAGTTAAGCTCGTGACTGTGATGGTGCCAGCGCCAGTGTCAAGCGTTTGATGCAGTGAACGCAAAGCGGCAGCTTTTTTGCATATAAAAACATTTGGTGAGCTTACACTATTTATGCAAGGCTGGAGCCATAAAGGAGCTTGTGATAACCTAGCTTTTTGCATCATTTTAAATTGGTCATTTACTCATGTGCGTGCTCGGCTTCGAAGTGAAGACCGCATCAGCTGTAGTAATTTTGATTTAACAAGCAATACCCTGAGTGGTCTTGTCTTCATAGATAAGGCTTGAATTAAAAGGCAATTATCTCGGGCACAAATAGCAATGCCGTGGTCAGTTCGGAGCTATTAAATGTAATCATGATTAGCAGAATACCAACTTTCATCATATTCGTAGGGTCTAATTAGTTTATCTCATCAACTGGCATGCTTTGGTTAGGCCGAATAAAGCTTAACATGGCTTCATTAGCATGTCATTTTAAAGATATGGCATAATTACCTTGGCCTTACCATCACTTAGTGTAATTAGCTTGGTCGTAGCATGTCCTGACCTAACTCGCGAAATTAACCATCCAGCCAAATAGCTAATTAGCCGGCCGCACGGCATTGGTTGCTGGCGGTCAATTACAACAAAGACAACGCGCACCAGCCGAGCAGTGCACTGGAATGTACAGTGGTGAGCACTGTTAGGGGGAACACGCGAGCACGTGGCCGACGGCACTATAGGTGCCACGTAACAGCCATCGTTGAAAACATTGCACATGCACAGCATGTGCTTTGCGAAACACTCTTTCCACCGCGTGCATCACGTCATCGATACGCTTGTTCGTCGTCTGCTAGCCGCATTTTTTGTTCGCTGAGCTGATACCTTCTGCATTTTAAGGTCCATCTGGATTGAAGATTGGCACGAGAAGGAAGAAAGTGAGTGTGAGAGGAATAATTATTAAACTTTTTATTCAAGAAAATTCCACATTTGCAATTCAAGTTAAACAAGACCATGAGAACAAATATAAAAACTTGAGCAAATTTAATAGCGAGCCGTGTGACCACTTACAGCAACGACTGCAGCTATTCTGGAAGGTAACGAGTCGTAAAGTGATCAGACATATTCCCGATCGGCGTTCAGATTTTCCCACTCGTTGCTGACTTGCGCCCACAACTGGTCCGAAGTCGCGGAATAAAGGGGCTTCCTTGCCAAAGAAGCTTTCAGATGGCCCCACACGTTTTATATTACATTCAGGTCCGCTCCTTTCGGAGGCCATTCCAGTAGCTGCATGTGCTGCTCTGCCTGGAACTCCTTGACAGCCCGCACCGTGTGTAACGGTGACCGGTCCTGTTGGAACAGGTAATCACCGTCTGGGAATAAACTGCTTGCATATGGCAACAGCACATTGTTCAAAATGTTGCAGTATTGTTCCTACGATAAGTGTCCACGTATAAGTTGCAGGGGCCCTGAACCATATCTTGAAACAGCACCCCACACACTCACACTCGATCTCCCACTGGCAGAAACACCCTGGGCGTTGTCTGGGTCGTTCCTGCATGACATTTTGACGTTAACTAAAACAATTGCTTTTCAAAGCAGGAAGTTTGCCTAACCATGTGCCTGGTAGTCTCCAAACACGCAATCTTTGGTCTTGTCGCGTCGAAAACGTCGACTCATCCGAAAAGATGACGCGACCCCACTCTTCTGATGTCCATGCTTCGTGCAACTCAGCGAACTGCCGTCGTGCGCCCTTGTGTGCCGCCGTTAGTAGTGGCTTCTGCGCTGCGACGCGTCTGCTAAGGCCCGCAGGGTGGTGGTGGTGGTGGTGGTGTTGCAGCAGGCGGGGTTAGCCTGGCCTGCATGGCCGGCGATTGTTCCGCCTGAGCATCTCCTGAATTAGGAGAATGTCACCACGTGTCAGACAGCCCAGTGTCTCGCAGGAAGACTAACAAAATTCGTTGCACGCTCATCCTAGTTGCCGCGGGTCCTTCAGGAAAGATGACGTCAATAACTGTCCGGTGCCCAAGACAGCCTTTTCGCAAGGTGCGGATCATCGCTGCTCTTTGCACATCAAACTGTGGGCAAAACCAAATGAAATGTTCAATATCTCCGATGTCACCACAGAAGGCACAGAACGGGGAAGCGTATCTCCCAGTCTTGAATGACCAGGCCGGGGTGTATGCGGAGCCGGTTCTTATGCGGTACAACAGCGTCGCTTGTTCACGAGAAAGTCCATGTTTTAAATGTCAGCGTTTTGGACATGTTGCTAAGCACTGTCGTGGGGAACAAAGGTGTAAGTGCTGTGGGGGGGCTCATGACTTTAAGACGTGTACAAGTAAAGAAAAACTTGTGTGTGCAAACTGTGGTGGCGACCACCCAGCTAGCTACGGCCGATGTCCAGCACGAACAGCTGCGCAGCGAAGAAATAAGACGTTTGTGCTCGGCCCGAAGACTGTGAACGAACCATCGCTCACAAAGAAGACGTCCGGCGTGCCACAACATGGCGGTTTGGAAAACGAGTACGCAGGAAATTTTCCGCGCCTAAATCCGACAAGAGCTGCTACTGAGTCAACGCAAGTGCTCAAAGCTGGTGAGAAATGTATCACGAAAGAGTCCGCCAAGCGCACCTACGCTGATGCCCTGAGCCCACCTCAAGTACCATCTGGAAGCAAACAACAAGAAAACCTCGAGCACGTTATTCGCGCTCTATTCACCGCACTACGTTCACACGTCGCTAAGATGCCTGCAAGTTCAACGAAGGATATGTTGGAAGCAGTCCTGGCTCTAGAGTCAGTGTTACTTTGCTCTGCTTCCACAAACACACAGTAGAATAATGGCAATGTCTCGCCCACCTGGTCTATTTCGTCCTTCAAAAGTGCCCTTAATAATGCAATGGAACTGCGCCGGTCTTCTAAAATGTCGGTGCAAACTCAACCTTTTCCTGCACGACATTCCAATACCGATTCTAGTCCTCTCCGAAGGCGGTCTACCGAATGCAAGGACGCTCCCAGGGTACATCCGACATGGCAACTCGAGCATAACGTCGTTTGCAAATGGAAGCGCAATGATATACATAAGGCGGGAAATACCTCACGTCGCCTTACCAGTGCAAGACCTCTGTTCTAAGTGTGCCTGGGAAACCGAAAACTGAGTGTGGTATCAGTGTACATAAGCCCACGAAAAAAGGTCTCCATGGAAACTTTCCTAAAGGACCTTTGCACTCGATGTCCCGCTCCTCGAATAATCTGTGGTGATTTTAACGCGCACCATTCACTCTGGGGAGATAAGAGTGTAGATTTTCGAGGCAAGGAACTTCTAGCAGCTGCGGATGCTGCTGACTTATGTGTGGCGAACGATGGCAAACCTACATTTTTCAGGCCACCAGATTCATGAAGGGCAATAGACCTTGTACTTCACTCCACGGACCTTCTGGTATCATCGACCACGGCTCCAGACAGGATGGGCAGCGACCATTTCTCCTTCTTTACCAATATCTTGGGATTTCGAAC